CTGTAAACTCTGTGACTGCTTATATAAACTGCTGGAAGCTGAGACCTAGTGAGAGTTCCACCTGTGGAAGGGACGCCTTGCCCAGGACGTGTGATCCTTGCCCAGCCGCGTCGATTGACAGGACTCTCCCGGCAGTGGGGCGTGGATGTTGTGAGTAATTGATTTGATGTGAAGTAATTGATTTGATATGAAGTAATTGATTTGATGTGTTCTCTTTTCGGTCAACCTGGTGTTTCTCTTTCCGGTTGATTTGTGTCATTTCTCTTCAGCCGATGTGGATGTTTTCTCTTTCCAGTTGGGCTGATGTTTTTTCCCTCTTAATATTTGACCTATTCGGATCTGTTTGCAGACTATCACCTTTACTATCCTCTATATAATAAAATATACCTTCAGTCCATTTGTTTGGAGTGGAAAGTGTCTTTTACATCTCCGATCGAATCCCCAAACCTCTCATAACAACTTATCATAACAGTTTTAATGTCCTTGTCTGCTAATTCTAACATCTGTGCCTTTCTGAGTCAGTTTTTATTCGTTGATTTTTCTTCTCATTATGAGTCCTATTTTCCTGTTTCCTTCCATGCACAGCAATTTTTGATTGGATGCCAGATATTGTGATTTTACCTTGTTAGATGCTGGATATTTTTGTATTCCTATGAATATTCTTGAACTCTGTTCTGGGATGCAGTTAAATTTCTTGGAATCATTTTGATTTTTTTCAGGTCTTCCTTTTAAAATTTGTTAGGCAGGACCAGCTCAGCATTTGGTCTAGGGCTAATTATTCCCTACTACTAGTTCAAGACTCTTCTGAGAATGCTACCCAGTGCCCTGTGAATTATAGATTTTCTAGTCTGGCTGGTGGGAAGAGACATTATTACTGGCCTTGTGTGAACATTTGGTACTCTTCTCCCTAATCCTTTCAGATGGATCTTTCCCTGGCTTTGGGTGGTTTCCCCACACATATGCACTCATCAAACACATACTTAATGGGGACTCTTTGTAGATCTCCAGTGTTCTTTCTCTGTGCAGCTCTCTCTTGGGAACACTATCCTGTGAATTATAGCCACCTTGATCTCCTTGGACTCTCAGCAAGGTCTCTTCAACTCAGAGAATCTGCCAAACTCCACCTGGATTCCCACTCCTTGCTCCACGGCCTTACGTTTCTTTCAAGGCATTAAGTTAGGGCAACCATAGGGCTCACTTTGTTTGTCTCCTATCTCCAAGAATCACTGTCCTTCATTGCCTGATGTCCAATGTCTTGAAACCATTGTTTTCTATCTTTTCTCTGGTGTTTTAGTTGTTTCAGGAGGGAGGGTAAATCTGGCTCCTGTTAGTCCATCTAGGCCAAATGTAGAAGTTTTGGATTTTGTATTTAGCTCCCTCTCCCCTTTTTTTCAGGTTTGTATCAGTTCTCATTTTATGGCTATATAACTTTGGCAAATTACCTAACTTCTCTGAGCTTTATTTTTTTCCATGTGTAAATGGCAATAATAATGTTAAAATTATTGACACTACATTTACGGAAAGCATTCAACACAAGGCCTGGCACATAGTAAACACTCTAATAATGGAGACTATTTTTATTGTCTAGACTGTCTAAAGGGTTTAAATCAGTTGATCTTTGCAGGCTATTCCAGATCTAAAATTTTGTGATTTTATTAATTCAGTTTTGAAAATTACATAGCATAATTTAAAAAATTAAAGCATACCCTCAATATTCTTTTTAGCCATACATTTACTATGCATAAATGAAAATTGATATTTTGTAAATGACAACTTTATCCCTGTCAAATTTTGTTATTTTACGAGTTACCCTTCTCAATTTCATTAATACATTACGTTAAAATATATTAGGAATTATTAGGCCATTTGGCTTTTCCATTTTGAAGAAGAATTTGAAATTTTTTCTTTTTTTTTGCCTTCCTTAAATGTTGGAATTGACTATTTCTTAAATTAAACTTCCCCCCCCCCTGCATTTTCAGTGTCAATCCAGTTGCTCAGCTAGGAATTAAGGTTTTGTTTGTTTAACTATTGGTTTGTAAAAGCTCTACGTACTATTTAAAATGAGGTCAATAGTACAATTCTAAAATGTTCCTGAATGTGATATCTTAGTAATAATCTAAGAAAATATTTGTTTGGAATTGTTTACGGCACTACAAAGAGATAGTCAGTAAATGACTATCACTTACTGTACGCAGTCTGTCTATAGAAGAGTTTTAATTACAAAATTTTAACTGAAAAGTAACAACACTGTGCATTTTGAACCTTAAATGTTCAGCATGAACATTAATTTGCTTTCTTCACATCAAAGCAATACTTCAAATAAACTAAAATTCATGACAATTAGTAAATATGCAATTATTTTAAAATGTGCCATCCTTGTTGCATAGCAACTTTTGATTCTATTATGTACTTTTTACGTACTCTAAAATAATTAAGCAAAGGCACAAACTGCTATCTACTCTTTTTGAATGTTAAAAGCATTTAAGTTATAAAGTTTATTCTAATATGTGTATTATATATTTGTAAAGGGAACATTTCATCCCTACGCAAAGGCACAGTGACCCAAGAAAGAGATGACAATGTCATATTAGCGATTCTCCTTTCTCATGAAAGAACTTTTAGGGAACTTTTTATTCACAGTCTCAATAGCTAACACAGCCAAGACATAATTATCATTCCCTGGCTTTACTGGCCTGAATCTTGATTTACTGCTAAGCTAAATGATAAGATTTATTAACAAGAAGTCATGTCCTCTCAATAAAATGAAATGTCCATTTATATTATAGAAAATTATACATGCCAAAATACATCTGTGATATAATTAATGTATTAGAAAGATATCATGGTCTTAGTAAGAATTTAGAGAATTTTGCCTAGGTTTATTTTCATCATCACATTAACTGCATAAAGGAGGAACATAATATTTTCATATGGTCAGACGCTAACTCTAACTTGTTCTACTTGCTGTGTCAGCACCTTAAGGACAGGGTACAGTGAGCAGCAGTACTAGAGTGGATCATGAACGTAGACTTCTTCTCCAGTAGATTGTATCTGAAAGTCCTTCATGGGGTGAGACCGTGGAGATGAGGAACTTCTACACAAACAAAGGCAGGAAAGTTCACTCTATCAGTCTAAGAGACACTCAGAAGTTTGAGGGAAGGAAAGGATCTGTGAATCTCTATCCACGTTAATTCCATCAGTGAAATTTCTGAGTCAAAAGATGGGACATTTACAGTATCTCTTCATACATATTGCCAAACTGCTCTCCAAAAGGTTGCTGTAATTTCTAGTCCTTTAAAGAGTAAGAATGAAAAACCACTATCAATTGGAAGAATAAAAAAATAATCTCTCATTGTTTTAATTCACCTTTTTTGAATTGCTAGTTAGGTTGATCATCTTCTTGTAATTTTACACATGGATTCGTAAAGACGGGGGAAGTGAATATGAGTAGACTAGCCAATGGAGTACATTGAGACTAATAAAAATTAGAAAGAATTAAAGACATGTGGGCTTTAGAGAAGAAAAGAAAAAGCCCATGCTACAAAATGAAACAAAATAAGAATGAGACACTTAGAGCAACTTTAGTCTGTATTCTCAAAGTGTAATTGTTTCCCATATGGCACTGTTGTTACAGCAGTCATTTTTGTTATAGCCTGAATGTGCTGGCAAGGGGGCAAGGGAAGGGCACTGATTTTTAGAGGGTCAGTACTGGCTGGGTATGGCCAACTGTGTGAAGACTGGAAATGAATGTGACAAATTTAGAATTGACCTGAGCTAGCAACAGCACGTAAAGGGTTTCAATCTGGTGGATGGCAGAGTGGGAGTTCTGGGGAGATGTTGGTTTGCAGGTGGCCACTGCTTGTTGCTTGAGGTTACAAGTTATAGAGTCTGGTCACCAAGGAGAAGCATCTGATAATAACCAAACAGGTTGTCAGGACTCAGTCAAGCAATCTGAATTGCAGTAGCCAGCTCTAGTTCTAGATGCAAATTTAAGACATAAGCAGAAAACTAAAGCAGAAGGCTAGTGCTAGGGATAGGTACCATCAGGGGAAGGGAAAGAGTTAGGAAGGCTTTGGTCCGGGGTGCAGGATAAGGCCAGGGCGAGCAGCAGAAGTTTATGACAGGGAGACGACGTCGGCAGCCTCAGTGACCAGAGCTGTGCACGGCCTGAGGTTGGGCTCACGATTTTAAAAATACTATTTGTATTCTTTAAAATTAAGAAAGTAGGGCCGGCCCCGTGGCTTAACGGTTAAGTGCGCGCGCTCCACTACCGGCGGCCTGGGTTCGGATCCCGGGCGCACACCGACGCACCGCTTGTCCGGCTATGCTGAGGCCGCGTCCCACATACAGCAACTAGAAGGATGTGCAGCTGTGACATACAACTACCTACTGGGGCTTTGGGGGGAAAATAAATAAATAAAATTATTAAAAAAAAAAATTAAGAAAGTAATATATATTCATTGTTGAAACTTTGATAAACATAGAAAAGTCCAAAGACAAAGTCTATGGAAGTTTTATCATACTCTAAGAGAAAACATTTTCTTTGTAAATAGTGAGCTAAACACATATTATTTTACTTTGCCAAAGTTCATAACTGAATGATTTTAAGTCATTTTTCATTCTCTTATATTATCTTCTTAAAAGCAGAGAAATTGTAAGAATAAATTAATATTCTCCTGTTTTTAAGGATGTGGTCAAATGGAGATTCTGTTGCTTTATGGGAAAAAGGTAAATATTTAAAAGTAAAAATTACACTTTTACATGAGAAGTAAATCTATCTTAATCTTACGAGATTTCAAATTCTATCTTTTTATTTCCCATTATATTGTCTAATATTTTGGAAAAGACACACATCATAAGTATATTTGGTCTTGGAAACTCCAGAAGGAATCAAAAGTGTGCATAGAAGCAAAGAAGTCTATGTAGAATAGACTGGCAAAGGGACAGAATTTTAAAAAAGCAAGTAAGACACATGCTGATGAAGGCCACATTATCGTTACCTTCTCCCTCCAGTTATCATCATTCAGCAGCTTCTGTCTAAGAGTTTCCTGCAGCTGCTCGATGCTTTTCTGATGTGAAATCAGCATCAATTCCCTGAAAACCATAAACCCGACAAATGAGTCAAGACTTACCACTGAGACTCTTCCTAAATTGCAGTTCCTGGCTCAGAGAATATTATTTTGCAACTTAGTCTATTTATTCTCTTTAGCAATATATATAGTGCTACTAGATATCTTTTTAACTGTTAACAGTAATTAACAAACACTGCATACAAGGTAAGTATTTTCTTAGGCTTAAATTTTGCTTAATAAATATTAGTAAGCATGAATTATTTATTTTACTATTATTATTGCATGAAATAGTAACAACAAATATTATTTTTGCATGAAATAGTAACAACATGTGTGGAGTCACAAATATAATAAAATGTTAAATAAATAAATAAATAAATAAAATGTGGTTCCAAAGTTTATGATTAAATCTTAACACTAGACAATATTTTGTTTCTTAAAAAAAGGAAAATATGTTGATATGCTGTAAAATCAACACATTATTTTGTGGTTTCTGCTAGATTTATTTTCCTTTTACTTATCTCAAATACTGATAGAGACAAACCAAATTAAGTAGAGGGTAATGTCTGAGATGTGGTATAGTACAAAACATATTAGAACATTGAAAAGAAAACACAAAGAACATTTTCATATTTTAATCCATATCAATGGATCTTGAAACTTAGTTTGTGATCCTCTGGGTGGAGGTAAGTGAGGGAGACTCAGGAGAACTTTTCACAGAGGTACTGAAACTAAGCCTTTTAATATCACAAGTAGTGGCATGCTTGTTGATCAGGGCTTCTTCCCTCTTCTATAATCACCATGATCCTTCTTATTTTCTATGTAGATGATTCTTCTCCATTGCTTATTCTGCTTTCTAATCCCTTTGTTTTCCATCATCACCATCTTTCTTTTAGCTTTGACTGCTTTTCTCAAACTTGTGACTTTCATTTATAACTGCCTGTTGGCCATCTCCGCCCTAATGATTCATCAACTCCAAAGATTCCACACATCAAAAAACAAATTCATGGGCTGGCCCGGTCATGTAGTGGTGGGGTTCGCGCACTCTGCTTCAGTGGCCCAGGGTTCGCAGGTTCAGATCCCAGGCGTGGACATGTGCACCACTTGTCAAGCCATGCTGTGGCCGGCATCCCACATGTAAAGTAGAGGAAGATGGGCATGGATGTTAGCCCAGGGCCAATCTTCCTCAGTAAAAAGAGGAGGATTGGCAACAGATGTTAGCTCAGGGCTGATCTTCCTCACACACACACAAAAAACCAACAAATTCACCATCGTCTCCTGCAATCTCGCCTTTCCTTTTGACTTCCGAAAACCTTCAACAGTCAAAATCTTTGGCTTGAAATCCCTGAGTGATCTCTGTCTCTTCCTTCTCCTTGCTCTACCATATCCATTCAATAAAAAATTCTATACATTCTGCTGCCTCTGTGAGCCTCAAACTATTACCTCCCTTCCTTTCCCCCTACCAACAGCCTCCTTAAGATTCTTGACTTTATCTCCCACCTGGAGTATTGTAATAGACTCTCAACCTATCTGTTGATCTCTATTGTAGTCTCACTTTTATAATATTATTAAACATTTTTTTGCCATAATAAAAATATTGCCTATATTTCTAGGCTAGATAATTTTAAGGATGCAAACATAAGGAGACACATTTGACTTGGTAACCAGGATTATGAATATCATTTGAGGGAAACTGATTGAAAAAAACAAAACTCCCAGGCTTCTCTTTCCAGAAGTGTGGGGGACTAGGTACCTTGACAACTTTCCTACTGAAAATAAATATTATTTTTTTTACTTATTAAAAAAACCTTAAACTTCATCAGTGAGCTGGACAAAAAGTCAGGAAGATGCAGAGAGCAAAACTGAAAATGAAAGAACAGAAAAAGAATGCCAGTGGAAAACTAGTAAAATCTGAATAAAGTGTATAGGTTAGTTAATTGTATTATACCAATGTTAATTTCGTAGTTTTTACAGATGTGACATGGCTATGAAAAATGGGCCAAAGGGAAACATAAACTCTGTACTGTCTTTGTAACTTTTCTGTAAATATAAAATTTTTCCAAACTAAAAGTTAAAAAAAATAAAGTGAAAGGAAAAACCCCAACAATAAGTATAACATTGAGGCCAACTCTCACCTTAAAGTACTTTCCAAATCTGATGAACTTGAGCTTTACATTTCACAGCCCTGAGGGCACAGGAGTCAGGAGAGAAAGGAAGAGTCTAAGAGGACACTCGCTCAGAAAGCTGCACCTCAAAGAGCCACACATGCAGCGTATGTGTGAAATCCACTCTCGGTATGAGTAAAACACAGATGACATCTCCTCTCAAAGAACAAAAAGGAAATTGCCAGCTTTGAATTCTGGTGCTAAGTGGAGGGGAAAATGTGAATCTCCCACAAGAATTTGTAGACATAAACCAACCGTAATGCAGATTTGTATCCTGAATTCACACCAAAAACCTTCATGTTAAGAAATTGTCTTCAAGTGGTGCTAGGTTAACCTTGCCTCCAGAGGCCTAGAAGGAAAAATACCAATATTTTGGGGAGAAACCTGTCTTCAACCTGAGACTCAAAGAATTCCTACAGATAAAGATTCAAGTCTTATGAGATCATAATTTTTTTTAAAAGATTTTATTTTATTTATTTATTTTCCCCCCAAAGCCCCAGTAGATCGTTGTATGTCATAGCTGCACATCCTTCTAGTTGCTATATGTGGGACCCGGCCTCAGCATGGCCGGAGAAGCGGTGTGTCAGTGTGCGCCCAGCATCCGAACCCCAGCCGCCAGCAGCGGAGCGCGTGCACTTAACTGCTAAGCCGTGGGGCCGGCCCGAGATCATAATTTAAAAATCACAAAACTAAAGAAAAAAAGCCAGTAGAGGAAGAATGAGCAGACACAAATGACAGCATAATCGAACTCACAAATTCTAAAGTATTGAATTTTCAGTTACGGAATATAAAATAAGGATGTTCAATATGTTAGAAGAAATAAAAGACTGATTTACATGACTAATGAAATTTGAAAAAGAACCAAATCAAGCTTGTAGAAATGAAAAATATAATAACTGAAACGAAAAACTCAGTGAATGGTCCTAGAGAAAATTATTCACAGCTGGAAAATGAAGTAATAAACTGAGAGGGAGATTCAAAGAAATTATACAGAGTGCAGTACAAGGAGTCAAAAATATAGAAAATACAAAATAGAAGTTGATATATGGAAGACAGAGTGAAAAGATCTAATACATATCTATTTATCATTTCAGAAGCAAAGGAGTGAGAAAGGGGGAGGAAGCAATATTTGAGAAGCATATTCCAGATTGGTGACAAATACCAACCCAGAAATCTAGGAAGTCCAATGGATTCCAAGCAAGATAAAAATAAATCTCACATCTGGGCACCTGGTAGTGAAAATGAAGAACATCAAAGTTAAAGAGATCTTAAAAGAAGCTGGAGAGAAAAAAAAACCAGATTATCTTCACAGGAGCCCAAACATATTGAAATCTTATTCTCCAACAGATATAAAGGAAGCCAAAGGCAGAAAAATAGTATGTTCAAAGTCGTATGAGAAAATGACCATCAGTCTCAAGTTGGGTACCCAGCAAATCTGTCTTTCAGAATGAGGCTGAAATAAAATACACTCAAATAAAATCTGAGCGTTTACCACCAGCTAAAGGACTTTTACTAAAGGAGCTTCTGAAGAATATGCTGTGCAGTAGGGAATATGATCTCAGAAGGAAGGTCAGGCATGCAAGAGGAAACGGTGAGCAAAGAAGTCGGCAAACGCACAGGCAGCAGCTGCTTCTTGGGCATGTGATCAGGGCAGTTGTACAGGGTCCCATGTTCAGAAGGGGGCCCTGTGCTTCAGGTTTAATGCTCTATGATCACCATCAAGAAATTCTTAATAATTTTGTCTTTGAATTTGTGTTTTTGTTTTATTTTTTTTGGTGAGGAAGATCGGCCCTGAGCCAACATCTGTTGCCAATCTTCCTCTTTTTGCTGAGGAAGATTAGCCCTGAGCTTACATTTGTACCCATCTTCCTCCATTTTCTTATATATGGGACACCACCACAGCATGGCGTGACAACAGTGCACAGGCCCACACCCGGATCTGAACCCGTGAGCCCCGTGTGAAGCGGAGTGCTTGAACTTAACCACTGCGCCGCTGGGCCGGCCCCCCCGAATTTGTGTTTTTTTAAGTGAAGTCTGATGGTACAATCGTGCATGTGCTGGGGCCTTGGAGCCTCAGATCACACACAGTCCTACCTCCTGCTACCTTCCTGCCTCCCCAGGCTGGTTCTCAAATCCCCGCTCCCCTGCGCTTGCCTAGCATTTGCTGCTGTCTTCTGCTTTGGGTGGGGGCCCAGGCCTGGGCATGGGCATGTGCTGAGTCATGGGGCCCTGGGTGCCCATGAGAGCTCCCACCCACCCCGTGAAATCTCCGAGCCCAAGGGAGTATGACGTTAAAACACAAAACATTAAAACACCAAGTTGAGAGATAAAACACCAACGTTGAAGGAAAGGAAAAAGCTTCTTTCCAGCTTTTTCAACAAGGGGCCCCAAATTTTCATTTTGCACTGGGTCTTGAAAATTATGTAGCCAGCCCCGCATGTAGGTAATAAACAAATATCATCTGTATAAAATAATAGTTTTGACTGTGTAATAGGGGCTAACGAAAGGATAGAACTGGAACACTGGACAAAATGTAGAATGTATATCGGGATGGCAACTATTAGAGCTCCAGTGTTCTTTGGTCCTGCATGTGTTCAAACGGAGTTCGAGATATTAACTTTAGACTTCATTAAGCACACATGATAAAATTTAAAAGTAACAAACTAAAACAATAGAAATAGAATATACCATTAGAGGAAAAATGCACTAGGAAAATAAATGAAATGCCAACAATCTCCCACTTCCAAAAACCCCAAAGGGAGAAAATAGTGCAGAAAAAGAAGGAGAAATAGAAAGCTTAAAATAACAATCACAATAATGGTAAATAAACTAAAATCATTAAAAAGAAAGAAACAGA